TTAACAAAACTATTGTGCCACGTGTTGTCCTTTTGCTGCTCTTTGTACTACTATATGTTTGGTTCCAAAACACAGAAGACCACTGCTGTAATAATTGGCACTAATATGTGACTATTAGACATCAGTACTTACATAAAGTGATCTTTTTATCATGATAACAACAAGAAAATTACTGGCAAGGCACTTGAAAAATGACACAGTAGTGGATAGCCATATGCTGTGAAACACTCAAATTACAACAAGTCCTTCTGCTGTAGGTCAACATGACAGAACTGGGCTGGCTGGACTTGTTTTCTCATAAGCAATTCAAATCTTTTGCAGTTACTTCTCTTGCCTGCACTTGGCACTTAAATCCCTCTGTCACATTCTGTTTATTTTATCTTAAGGATTCACACCCTACCATTCACAACATACCCAAAATGTAGGTGGTCTAGATTTAAGCCTGTTGGATGATAGATGACAGCAAAGGGGGGGGGGAGGGGGGAGGATTAAAATACTGCCAATTATTCATCATGTTTCTGCAGGTATTCTGTAGCTATAAGTATAGGAGATCTAGTTCACACCAAAAGTCGCCTCTTCTCCCAGCCATTGGGACCAAGCGAGAGAGACAGAAAGAGAAAGAGAAAGAGCCCCTCCGGCTGGAGGTATCTTCCACCTCCGCTCCCTCCTTTGTTTTTGCGCCTACCTTCAGGAAAGGTGGGCATCTCCACCTCTCTCTCTCTCTCTCTCTGTCCCAATGGCTGAGGAGAAAGTCAGGAGAAGAGGTGACTTTTGATGCACACGCCGGGGTCTTCAGGCACGCCTCCGGACCCAAAGCGGGCCAGGCAAGGGAGCAAGTGCGGCAAGTGTAGTTACTGGGATGTATAGTTCACCTACAATCAAAGAGCATTCTGAACTCCACCAATGATGGAATTGAACCAAATATGGCACACAGAACTCCCACGACAAACAGAAAATATATATCAATGATTGGTTGGGAGGGGGGTGCCAAAATACTGTTTGCTTACCGTTGAAAATTACCTAGGGCCGCCTCTGGCCATGAGTCACCTGACTCATGGCTTTCCCTTTTGCTGGCAAGACGGAATGTCCAAGTTGGGGCGTGTGACAAGGTCCTAGAACTCCAATATATCAAGGTTCAAATCCTTGTTCAGCCATAGAAACCCACTGGGTGGCCATGGGAAGGTCACACTGTTTTAGGGATTGTAGGTGCAGGCAGTGCAACAATACAATGTGTAATACATTGGGGCAAGCAATGAGGAATTATCCCTATTGCACCACTATCTTGATCTTCCTGAGAGAGCCATTCTTTATTATTCCTACATCTGATGTTGCCATACATGGAGGGATTTGGGCAATATGATTCAGGTAAATATTATAAAGGCATCAGATCCTGTGTGATCTAGGTGTTAGGTAGGGTTAGCCCTGATGGGAACTTGGATGGGAGACTGGCAGTGGAAACTGGGTGCTATAGATGATATTTCAGAAGAACAGGTCAAGTATAAGACGAAGTCCATGGAGCTGACACCATGAATTACTGCACTGAGTGGAAAAACAACCTGCCTGAAATCCTAAAGTAAGTGTGGGACTTCACGCCCTAAAGGTATCATATAATCTTGGGGAGGGGGTCCCATACAGTCCCTTGGCCCCTCCATACCCCCCTGAACACCCAGGAGCCCTTCTCCCAAGAACTGTCCCAAAACCCTGTGTTTTGGCCAAAATGCCTCTCATTGCTTGCATGTTTTGCCATTAAAAGCTTTTTGGGGAGGCATCTCAAAATAGCCTTAAAATGTCAATAATTGGTAGTTGGATGTGACAAAACATAACTTCTGATGTGCCATGATGGTGGCCGCAGCAATGTGGCCTACATGGGGTCCTGATAATGGCCAACATCCAGAACATGTTTATCCAATATAACAGATAAAGGATATGCAACCTACAGGCTTTATGTAATCTCAGACTTGTTGGCCCTTTAAGCTCCCGCGCCAGCAAAAACTAACAAAAGAATGAAGCTTTTCAGGGACAAGAAATTCTCAATTGTCATTATTAACTGGGAAGAGTGGTTTTTTAAAATATCCTATCTCCCTCAAGTGAAGAAGATCTGCATAGTTAAAGCAATGGTATTCCTCACAGTAACTTATGGATGTGAGAGCGGGACCATAAGGAAGGCTGAGCAAAGGAAGTTAGACTCTTTTGAACTGTGGTGCTGGAGGAAAATTCTGAGAGTGCCTTGGACCACAAGAAGATCAAACCAGTCCATACTCCAGGAAAAAAAAATGCCTGACTGCTCACTGGAGGAAAGAATATTAGAGGCAAAGATAAAGTATTTTGGCCACATAATGAGAGGACAGGACAGCTCGGAGAAGATAATGATGCTGGGGGAAAGGGAAGGAAAAAGGAAGAGGAGCTGACCAAGGGCAAGATGGATGGAAGGTATTCTTGAAGTGACTGGCTTGACCTTGAAGGAGCTGGGGCTGGTGATGGCTAAAAGGGAGCTTGGTCCATGAGGTCACAAAGAGTCAGAAGCAACTGAACGAATAGACAACAAATCTCCCTAAAAAACCAACAATCACAATCAGTAGTGATTTCCAGTCCCTTTTAGGTTGAACGTTGTACTTATTTTAAAAACTAGAGATCTGTGGAGATGAGAAATCCCCCTCCCCCCACAAAAAAACACTACTGCTTACTTAGTGTTGAGAATGGTCCGAGTCAGTACAAAGTAACTTTCGAGATCCTGATATCATGTATGAATGACAAGACAAACAATATCAGGATAATATACTAGATTAATGTCTCTTCTGAAAATTGTCACATAAATTAGATCTTAATATATAGCAGACAAGAACTGTAATTTTTGAGAATAAAATGTAAATTTGAAATGTTGTGTGATTTCTTTATTATCCTATTGCTCTATCCTTGTTCTGAAAAACTGAGACTAATAATGATTTCAAAAGGATTGTTTTACTTCGCTTTAACAAGAAAAGTGCTAATATTTGCATAGTAGATAATGTCAGTTGTCTCTTTAAAGAAAAACCTTTATGTTGTAATAGCAGATGGAAGATTAGCTAATGCCATCTACATCCTCTATAGTGAAATTATTTTCCACTGACGGTTTCATCCAGATCTTCCGATGAAGGATTTCACAGTAGTGAAATTGGAATTTCTTCTTAGATAGCACATATGAGGTTTCATAAGGAAGATAAGTGCTTAAGTTTTTAAGTTACTAATGCTCGCATTGAGATGCCTGCCTTCTAAATGTCTTTAATTAACTTTCTTTTTTACAGTTTGGTTGGTTATTACACTGCTTTTGACGCTTGTGCTGTAATGTTCTGTGAAGCCTCAGACGGCTCTCCTATCTCAGAATCACTGTCTGAATCAGCACTTCAGTTCTACAGGCTCTGATGACTGTTTCACTTTGAAACAATGCATGAAGATCTAAGGCACCTCTTTCATCATTCTATGAAGAAGTCATCTTAAGCTCTTTGCTTCTGCTTGGGTGTCCTTCTATGCCTCCAACAGATGGGTGAACCAATTATGTTGTTCCAGCACCAATGAAAGTCTGCGTGAGAACTTCAAATATGCAATTATTCAGCCTCTTTTCAAAAACAATGTTTGTCATGACTGTACCAAACTTCAGTATCTAGCAAAGTTGAGGCTTAGGTGAGACAGACTTAAGATTGGTCAAGACAAGAGATAAGATGGGTAAAGTAAGTAGGAGTAGATGGAAATTATGGATAAGTCCTGAATTGTCCTGATTACGAAGATTTTTATCTTTGAATAACTGTGACCTCTCATGGCAATTCACGGCAGGGCTTAGCAAAATCCTGTTGAAGCATGCAAGAAATCAGTTAGTGTATGTGTGTCAACTGTAAAATAAGATGCATAAAGCTGATTGGTTGGGCTATGCCCGGAGAGCTGGTTTAGTCTGGGACTTTTGGATACTGTTACATTTTTTAGACTTGAGGTATGCAGGTGCTTGCCGAGAAGCAGAGAGAGTCAAGTCTGGATTGTGCTCTTGCTTCATGAGCTGCTGATGGATTTTATCCACATAGACAAAGAAAGACCATTTTAAATCTCGCATAAAATGACATTATGTGAGTTGATGCAACTGTGCACATTGTAAATATGATGTTCTGAATTACAAAGAGTAAATGACTTGTTCTTTACTGTTCATCTGTGTGGCATATTTTCTTTCTCTGGCAAGGCAGTGTGTGGACTGATCAAACGTAAACTACATGTGGTTTATTTTACATTATGCCACAAATCTGCCTTGTGGAAAGACTGAGGCATTGAATTGTTCCCTTTGTAAAGCTGCCTTGACTCCCCTTTGGGGTTGAGAAAGGTGGGATACAAGTATGGTAAATAAATAAATACTCAGTCCAAATGAGATCCAGACCAAACTGAGGGTTCCTCCCCCCTGAAGACAATTTTTTAAAAAGAGAGATAAAGAGATTGAATATAACGTGGAGATGACAACCTTATCTTGCAGTGCCCCATAGAGATCTGCTTCAAATTGACTTATCGTTTGTATATTACACAGGTCTCAGTGACAGCCACAATTGCAGTATCACTGTTGTTGCATGTCAAGAAGAAAAAGATATGATGTTGGAAAGAAGCAACAGCTGGAGGCAAAGAGGTATCTCATTGCTTACATTACCTGCTCGTTCATGAGAAGTAGATAGCACCAAGTGTCATGGATTGACAGATAAGTTCCTTGGGCCTAGATGCCCACCCACAATACCTTTTCTTCCAGAGACATACTTACAGGCAAGAAGGCTCTGTTCTGCTGCTCTGTTCTGCTGGCCATGTTCAGGTCTTTGAGTTTAGCTTCAGATTTTACTGTGCAAAGCCTCAAAATGCGAAAATTACCCATATTATTTTTGTCTTACATTTCTGTACTCTGTAATCAGAACACGACTATACCTCTTTCCAAAGAAAAACTCTTGTAAAGTTAGCATTTTTATAGTTCTTCTGCTTGATGGATTTCACCTCCTATCCAAACAAAAAGGTTAATAGTTTATTCTTTTATTACAAGTGTATAAGTGTATAGTGTTTGAAATAAAATATGAAAGGATTTATAACTATTAGCCATGCTATGCAATAATTAATTTTCAAACCATGGTTCTCAAGCTGCTTTCCTAAGGCTCTCTTCTTCAGCAACAGCTTTAGGGGATCAAAAACGGATTTCAAAGCATAAGATGTCCTGATGTCTGCAAAGTCCTAAAAGACTCTTCAAGTGCCTGTAAAGCAATCAACATTCACATGAGTTATAAACAGCCTTTTTAAAGCAACCTTCATTTATATCTCTCTGCATAGGAAACTAGCTCTAGTAATAAATTCGGTGAGATCCAACTTCAAGTGGATGTGTAATGGTGTGAATGAAGAAGATTTCCCTGATGTGTTTTCCATGACAGCAGGCACCTTTCTAGAGTTAAAAATGGTGATCCTGATGGCTCCTTGCAGTCCTTAATCCTTACTGAATGACCTTAGAAAGCCACTTTCTGGAACATTAAGAGGATAAAATGAAGAAGAGAGCAATTCCTCAGAAGCACCATATCTGTATCTGTTTCCCCTTTTCTCATCAAACTTCAATTGGGACAAGAACCTGCTCCTGGATGTCCAAATGACCTGGCTTTAAGTTGCATTCCTCAAAGTGGGGGAATGCTCCAGAGTTTAACTGCAGATGGCTATGGAGCTCTAAAGAGATAATGGGCATCCCTGAGCACCTTTGCTGACATCAGCAAAAACGACAACATGACTCTGGAATCTAAGAGAGAAATTATCAACCTCATCATCATCATCATCATCATCATCATCATCATCAAAAGAGGGTTCTTTCAGACTGGCTTTGCTATTGCATTGAACTGTGACGTGCATTCAGTAAGTTTCGCAGTAGTGCCTCAAAGGCTAAGATGCCATTTCTCAACCTGTGGGTTGGGACCCGTGGGGGGGGGGGGTTCATGAGAGAGTGTCAGAGGAGTCACCAAAGACCATTAGAAAACACAGTATTTTCTGTTGTTCGTGGGGTTCTGTATGGGAAGTTTGGCCCAATTCTATCGTTGGTGGGGTTCAGAATGCTCTTTGATTGTAGGTCAACTATAAATCACAGCAACTACAACTCCCTAATGTCAAGGCCTATTTCCCTCAAACTCCACCAGTGTTCACATTTGGGCATATTGAATATCCGTGCTAAGTTTTGTCCAGATTCATCATTGTTTGAAGCCACAGTGCTCTCTGGATGTAGGTGTACAACTGCAAAACTCAAGGCCAATACCCACCAAACCCTTTCAGTATTTTCTGTTGGTCATGGGACTTATGTGTGCCAAGCTTGGTTCAACTGGTGGAGTTCAGAATGCTCTTTGATTGTAGGTGAACTATAAATTCCAGCAACTACAACTCCCAAATGGCAAAATCAATCCCCCCCAACCCCACCAGTATTTAAATGTGCATGTATCGGATATTTGTGCCAAATTTCATCCAGTGAATGAAATACATCCTGCACATCTTATATTTACATTACAATTCATAACACGAGCAAAATTTCAGTTATGAAGTAGCAACGAAAGTAATTTTATGGTTGGAGGTCACCACAACATGAGGAACTGTATTAAGGGGTTGCGACATTAGTAAGGTTGAGAAACACTGACCCAAGATGAACCAAGAGGAGTCTAGGAAACTTCCTCCCTCTCCAAGTCACATACCTGGTGCTTTCAAGGTGAATGTTTCTCTTTCCTTTCCTGCGAGGAGGTGATGCGGGCTACGAGTGACTTGATCATAACAGCCCTGAAGGTGTCACAAGTCTCTGCTGTATTTTTCACAACAGTCTGACTTGTCCTCATTTCCAGAAACTATATCCTGAAATATGACACCAACCTCAGGCTCTGCTTGAAAATTCTTTGCAGGACATCAACAGGAATCAGATGTAATAGGACATATTTATTACCATAAATCTTGGGAAAAGATTTCTCTTAAAATAGACCAAGTCCTTCCTCTCATCTTTTACAAATGTTAGCATTGCTCCATATTTGTCTATATGAGACTGCAATCACCACTGGGAAAGTTAGCCAGGGCAACTGGGCCTTGCAGACCAACATCTCCTGGGTCACATGGTTTCCCCCACTGCTGTGATGAGACCACACTGAAAGACATAAAAAAACAGAGATAGAGAGAGGCTGAATGCAATATGAACAACCTCTTAACAGAGCAGGAAAACATGTTAACAAATATAGAAAGGCAGTATGTTTATAAACGAAAGCTATTCTATTCTGTTGCCTTGTAAACACTTTGTGAAAGTTCTTCCATTTCAAACGCTGCAACGTGTTAATGCTGAGCAAGTCATTTGTTCACACCCTTATAATTCTACTAATTACACACCAAGGTCAGAGGTGTTTATTGGCATGCAGAAGTAGTTTATAACTTTGACATCGATAATTAATTATGTCACCATGGAAGGGTACATCAGATGGGCTGATATCTGACTGATGTAATAGTCAATACACCCTTATGAATTGCTTTTCTTATGACATTTGCTAATCCAATAGTCCTGTTGATAACTATTGACTTTCTTTTCTTTCTTTCTTTTTTAAAAAAGGAAATGTAGTTGATGCAAAGTTATTGAGTCTGTTGCATTTGTATATTATTCAAATACATTATTCAACTATCTATTTGCGAAATAGGGCTGGAGCAGTTGTATCTTTTTTTTAAAAATAGTTGTCTCACTTTAGTCTCTACTAATGAACATTAAAACTTGACTTGCTATTGTTTCATTATTTCATACATTTTGTCATATATTTGAATGTTGAAAAAGTAGAGAATATTATGCTAGTGTTGAAGGAAGGAAGAAAGAACTACAAATGATTGCAGTAATGTTTAAGTCCTGTCTTTCTTTAAATAGTGTTGTTTGTAACACAGAGATTTTGTATTATTTGGTGTATAAAATCCAAATCTAGAATAAAGCCCAATAGATGCTTACAGAATATAGTTCTTCGCAAGCAGCTATCAAAATAATCCATGTGATTAACTTGCACAATCTTCACTGTGTACAGAGAATTATTTTTGTGGTTATAGTATTGGGACTTAAACTTTCTTAATACCAGATTGCCCTGTATTTTGTGTTACCTCCCTGTAAGCAGATAGTAGTGCAGATACAGCCTATCCAATTGTATAATATGGTTTAGGCTAAATTCACAAAATTGTACTAGGTTCAGGCAAAAATCTTTACAAGCAAATGTGATATTGTGTTCACATGCAAAACAGGAAGGACAGATGAGTCAGTGCAGTCTTACACGTGTTTATCCCTTTAACTTGTTTATCAGCCACTTCACTGGTATCTACAAGGACAAAATATTATAATGATACTGAAACAATGCAACACATTGTGACAGACTTTGCACTCCAAACACACCTACACTCTAGAGTGATTCATTCCACTCCTTATGTTCCCACAGACATGAATTCAGGTAGGGATGGATTAAGACCTTTAGAGGCCCTAAGCACTTTGATGCTTCCATATTTATCTAATTCAAAATATAAACAATTAGAAACCATAACATGGAAATTTATAAGCTGGAAAATAATGGTTTTTTAAAAATAATATTTCCAATTGAATTACATTTGAAAAGTTTTCTACTATGTGAGAGATCCTTTTTGCGAGGCTTGGTTCAGCTGCAGCATTTGCTGTTTTGCACCATTTATTAATCCAAGTTTTAACCAATTTTGTATGCTTAATCATATTTTAATATTTATACGATCGATATTCTAAAATTGTATGGATTTACTTATTGTTGTGAGACATTTTGTGTCTCAATTACAAAGCAGGATATAAGCTAAAGGTTTTCCCCTGACATTAAGTTCAGTCGTGTCCGACTCTGGGGGTTGGTACTCATCTCCATTTCTAAGCCGAAGAGCCAGCGTTGTTCATAGACACCTCCAAGATCATGTGGCTAGCATGACTGCATGGAGCACCGTTACCTACCTGCTGGAGTGGGACCTATTGATCTACTCACATTTGCATGTTTTCAAACTGCTAGGTTGGCAGTAGCTGGGGCTAACAGTGGGAGCTCACGCAGCTCTCTGGATTTGAACCTGCGACCTTTTGATCAGCAATTTTAGCAGCTCAACCTACTGTGCCATCAGGGGCTCCTAAGTGGGATATATATCTATATCTATATCTATATATATATCTGGCAATTGAAAATTTCTTTGCTGCTCCTATTTCTTTTGAGGCCCAAAGAGCATGTTTATTTTGCTTAATAGTTAACCCAGCCTTGAATTTAAGTATTCTCTCAAAAGCTAACCTATGGGTGCATCTACACCAGGCATGGGCAAACTTCAGCCCTCCAGGTGTTTTGGACTTCAACTCCCACAATTCCTAACAGAAGTTTGCCCATGCCTGACCTACACTGACATGAATACAGTTTGACACCACTTCAATTGACACGGCTCAAAACTATGGGGTCCTGAGAGTTATAGTTTTACAAAACTTTAGCCTTCTCTGCCAAAGGGTGCTCTTGCCTTACCAAACTACAATTCCTAGAATTCTATAGCATTGAGCCATGACAGCTGAAGTGTTTTAACACTTATACAAATGCCACCTCCTCTTCTGCACTCTCAAGTGGGATTCCTCTCTAGCTGCCCCCCCCCCCATTGTCATGCTTTGTCCCGTTCACCAATGCTGCCCTCAGAAGCTCTGAAGTGCCACTGGGCAGATGAGAGATGCTTAGGAATCAGGCTGCCTGGACAGTGGCTGTCCTTCAATGTTCAATACTTACACAAAGGATCAGCCACTGCCAGAAGGTACAAAGAATTTCATCTATGCTGACGATCATGCCATCACTGCTCAAGTAGGGAGCTTTGACATGGTTGAACAGAAGCTCTCTGAAGTATTAGGCACTCTTACTGCCTATTACAGGAAAAACCAGCAGATTCCTAACCCATCTAAAATGCAGATGTGTGCTTTCACCTTAAGATCAGACAAGCATCCCAAGCTCGGAGGATTACCTGGGAAGGAATCCCACTGGAGCATTGCAGCACAGCAAAGTACCTGGACCGTGCTCTGACTTACAAGAAGCACTACTTGAATATCAAGCAAAAAGTGGGTACCAGAAATAATATCATACGAAAGCTGATTGGCACAACCTGGGAATCACAACCAGACACAGTGAAGACATCTGCGCTGGAGCTTTGCTACTCTGCTGCTGAGTATGCATAATATAATAAAACTATAATAATAAAACTTTATTTATATTCCACTCTATCTCCCCAAAGGGACTCTGGGCGTACCCAGTATGAAATACATCTCACCATATTAAAACAGTGGATGTGACTTTTAATGAGGCATGCTGCATTATCACAAGATGTCTATGCCCTACACTGCTGGAGAAATTATACTGTTTAGCTGGGATTACAGCACTTGACATTCATCAGGAAGTAGCAGTCAGTAATGAAAGGACCAAGGCAGTGACATCTCTGACCCATCCTCTGTTCGGATATCAGCCAGCAAGCCAATACCTTAAATCAAGAAATAGCTTCTTAAGATGTACTGAGATACTCATAGGAACACCTCAGCAAGCGAGAGTCCAAAAGTGGCAGGTTAAAATCTGAAACCTCAATCAGTGGCTGACACTGGATGAGAAACTCCCTCCTGGGCACACATTGAAGGCGCAGAAGAGACCACACTCTGGTGCTACGAGATGCAAAGCTAATCTTAAGAAATGGGCTACCAAGTGGAGTCCACAACATGCAAGTGTGGAGAAGAGCAAACCACAGACCACTTACTGCAATGCGATCTGAGCCCTGTCACATACACAATGGAGGTCCTTCTCACAGTGACAGTTTCTGGTCAAAGGATATTTAGCATAATGTCAAGTTTTTAGCTTTGTTTGTGGTTTTTCTATACATTATAATTGTATTCTCAGCTTGCTTTTGACACGATAAATAAATAAGCTGAAGTGGTGCCAAACTGTACTAATTCTACAGAGTAGATGGACTCCCCCAGGCACTATTTCCTTTACCAAGACATTTATTAAGAAATGTCTAGGTAAAGTGCGATCTCACTATCTTCCACTAGAGGGAGTCTGAGCACTTTGAAAAGTCCGGGGAAAGCGAATGCGCCAAGGGAGGAGAGGAGGCCAGAGCAGGAAAAGCTGAATGAGAAGGCTCCTGCTGGGTCTTTTGGGCTCTGTTTGGCTGCTGCTTAAGAAACCACAGCGGACCCAAGGAAAAGGCTTCGCTTGACACTCCAAGCCACTCTCCTGCTTCAAAAGGCTATAATGTAAATCACTAAGGAGGACTTGCAGAACTTTGCATAAACTTTGGACCTGGGCAAGGCAGGCGCGCCTTTCTATGCTTGTGTCAACACCACGCCTTTCTGGTGCCATCTGGGTCAAGAGCGCCAGAGCTGAGGCTGCATCTACACCGGGCATGGGCAAGAAGTAGACTGGTCTGGGAAATAGCGAGTGGGATAGAAGAGGGTTGTGGCTGGCCTGGGCAAACCTGGGGCCTCCAGATGTCTTGGACTTCAACTCCCACCATTCCTAACAGCCTCAGGCCCCTTCCTTTCCCCACTTTAGGAGGACCCCTAAATAGATGCGAGGACAAAAAAACTCATCCCAAGTTGAACGTCTAATTAATCAGGGAATAGTTTTGTCCAGTAATAAGAAGACTGGTCTGGGAAATAGGGAGTGGGATAGAAGAAGACTGTGGCTGGATCTATACCAGACATGGGCAAACTTGGGCCCTTCCTCCAGGTGTTTTGGACTTCAACTCCCACCATTCCTAACAGACTCAGGCCCCTTCCTTTCCCCCCTCAGCCGCTTAAGCGGCTGAGGGGGGAAAGGAAGGGGCCTGAGGCTGTTAGGAATGGTGGGAGTTGAAGTCCAAAACACCTGGAGGGCCCAGGATTGCCCAGGCTTGGTGTAGATGACACCACTTGAACTGCCAAGGCTCAATGCTATGGAATCCTAGTATTTCTAGTTCTACAAAGTCCACAATTTCCCTGCCAAAGGGTTGTGATGCCTTCCATCGCATTGAGCCTTGGCAACTATAGAGCTGTAGTACCAGTCTCATCATCACACTAGAGAATGAATCCACTTAAAATCCGTTTTCTACCTCTTGCAGAATTCTGGGGCTTGTAGTTTAGGGAGGAGCCTTTAACAGTCTTGCTAATTTCACAAACCCCTAGAATTCCGCAGAAGGCAGAAACCGAATTGTAAGTGGATTCATTCTCTACTAGTGTGATGAAGGCGCCCCGTGGTTCCCTGCAGCCGCAAGCACTCCCTTCTATTCCATTCAAAGAGTCAGGCTGGATTTTTTGGGGAAGGGGCGGGGCCTTGTTCGAAGGCCACACCCCTTTCCCTGGGGGCTGTCATCCAATCGGGTGGAAGAGAAAGAAGGGGGGGGGGGAGAAGAGCGCTCTGTAAGCTCTCTCTCTCTCAGCTTGGCAAATCAATAGCAAAATATGCCAAATTCCCCCCTTCCCTTTTGCGCCTCTTCCTCGCGCATCCAGACGTGCACGCACGCTCCCTTGACACGCAGGCACATGTTGAGGAGGCATATATAGAGAGAGCCAGGTCTCCTGCGCAGCTGTCTGGGTCAGGCAGGCAAGCACCCAGCTCGCCTCTTTTTTACCGTCTAGGCTCCCTGGATTGACGCACAAGAAACCTGCAAGCAAGAAAATATATATATATATATAGAGTGGGCGTGACTATTGAAACACCCCCTCCCCTGGACATTCTCTCTCTTCCTTTTTGCCTGATTCTTCTCCTGCTTTGCCACCGCTGTGTCGTCCAGTCCTGGTAGCTATTTTTTGCCTATTTACAGCTGCCAACCCGTTTGCTCGCCTTGGCTTCCTCGGATCCGAGCGAGAAAAAAGAGAGCGGTTTCCTGGTTTGCTTCTGCTTCCAAGGAGGCTGAGGCAGGCGCTGCTTGCTATTGCTGCTGCTGCTGGGCAAGACCTCGCCTCCTCCTCCTCCTCCTCCTCCTCCTCCTCCTCCCCATGTAGTCATCCAGGGGAGGGACCCTCTTCCCCTCCCTTCTCTTCCCCTCCCTCCTCCTCCTCCTCCTCCTTTTCCTCCTCCTTTCCCTCTTTTGCAAAGTTGACGTTCCGGGGACTGGGAAGGGCTGCCTTGCTCCCAGAGTGGCCAGGCTTAAAGGAGGGAAAGAAAGAGGGGAAAGAGAAAGAGAGAAAGGAAGAAAGCAAGAGAAGGCGATTGCCTCGCCTCGGGGCTCCTCGCCTTGGACAAAAAGGAGCGACCCTTGGAAGAGAAGAAGACCCAATACCGCAAAGCACCGGCAACAACCAATCAACCAAGCAAGCAACCCATTCTCCTTCCTTCCTCGATTCCTTTTCTTCCCTTCCTTCCTTGTTTCTCTCGAGAAGACTCAATACTGCAAAGCACCGGCAACAACCAGCCAATCCTCCTTCGTTCTTTTCCCCCTTCCTTCCTTGTTTCTCTCTTTCCGGCGTCCCGAAGCAACCCTCTCCTTGGCGATCTCTGGACATACATCCTTCCCGAAGGAAAGCCCGGCAAACGAGCCTAAAGGACTGCGAAGTCTCTCTCTGGAAGAAGGAGCAAGAGCCTGCCTTGAAGCCAGGCGGAGAAAGAGAGGCAGGGAGACCGAGAGAGGGAGAGGGAGAGGGAGGGAAAGAGGCCGGAGCAGCCGGGCGCACGGAGTGGACTTTTCCTTCCTTCCCTGGGAGGCTTCCCCGTCCAAAGGCGGGAAGGACAGGAAGGCAAGTCCGAGGAGGGGAAGCCAGAGGGGCGAAGGGGCCCCTTCCTCGGTGCATGTCTCTCCCGGGGCGCCTCCCGCCGCCCCTTCTTTCTCCTCCGCCTGTGGCCGCATCTCCAAGAAGCCCCGCTCCCGGCCGTCTCCTCCTCCTCCTCGTGGCCGCTGCCGGCTGGACTTCTTCTCCCTTTGTGTGCGCCTGGTGACTCCGTGTCCTCCTTCCCCTTCTGTTGCCCTAGTTTTGTTTTGTTTTTGGAGCTTCTCCTCTCTCTCCCTTCCCTCCCTCTCCATCCTTGGGCCGCCGCCGCCACTGCATCTCCTCCTCCTCCTCCTCCGTCTCCTCTTCCTTGGCCCAGAGGAGGGATGCTGCACGTGGAGATGTTGACGCTGCTCTTCCTGCTGCTCTGGACGCGCGTCTTCGGGCAGGACCCGGGCTCCAAAACCGTCGCCGACCGCTACGCCGTCTTCTGGAACAGCACCAACCCCAGGTAAGAGAGAAAGAGAGGCAGAGAGAGAAAAAGAGAGAGAGAGAGAGAAGGAGAAAGGCCACCTCCTGCACCCGCCACTCAAGCCCCTTTCAAACTGCTCTTGAAGAAAGTGGCTTCTCTGTCATCCTGGAACCCAGTTGACGCTCAGGTCGTGGTTACAGAAACCAGGCTTTCTTTCTCATGTTTCTGGGGGAGTTGGTTGTCTGGCCACAGCCGTCTACAGCAACTCATCTCCTTCCAGGATCCGGTGCATCAACCCCCATCCCTGGAAGGAGAGGGAAGGGAGGTTTCGCATTGTTTAGACAGGACTGTGGTCTTCCCTTCTTGGAAGCATCTATCCTCTACTCTGATGCTTCCTCCTATGCATGAAAGTAGATGCCCTGCAAGTTCCTCTCCTTCCAGGATCCGGTGCATCAACCTCTATCTCTGGAAGGAGAAAGGAAGGGATGTTTCGCATTGTTTAGGCAGGACTGTGGTCTTCCCTCCTTGGATGCATCCATCCTCCACTTTGATGGTGTTGCGGGGACTTGTTTGGTTGGGAAAAGAAAGGCAGTAAAGTTTTCCTCTTCTGAAGGGACCCTGTGCCTTTCCTCCTCTCCTCTTGGGCTGGATCTAGGTGTTTTGGACTTCAACTCCTACAATTTCAATGGCAGAAAGGTTTGTAGGAGGAAAGGAGGAGGACAAAAAAACTCATCCCAACTTGGACGTCTAATTAATCAGGGAATAGTTTTGTCAGGAAATAAGTAGACTGGTCTGGGGAATAGGGAGTGGGATAGAAGAGGACTGTGGCTGGATCTATATCAGACATGGGCAAACTTGAGCCCTCCCTCCAGGTGTTTTGGACTTCAACTCCCACCATTCCTAATCACTCAAGCGGCTGAGGGGGAAAAGGAAGAGGCTGAGGCTGTTAGGAATGGTGGGAGTTGAAGTCCAAAACACATGGAGGGAGGGCCCAAGTTTGCCCATGCCTGGTGTGGATCCAGCCTTGGTTTCCCTGAATACCTTGGTGCCTCTGATTTTCAATTCAAGGCTGTTTATACTGTGCTTCAGAGCCTCCTACCTTTACTATATGCATCCCTAACATGTCATGATGCTTGAGTTTATACAAGTTGTGTGTATACTTCAGAACCAAGGCTTTTTAAAATGGGGAGGTGCTCACTTTGGTCAAAATGGAACAGCAAAAATCCACTCCCTTGTTTATCCTAGGAGAACTTCCAGAAGTTCATACAAATGGACTCTCAAACTAATAATACACTTAAATCAGATAGAACCAGCCTTTATTTTCATGTATTATCATCTTTCTGGGACGTGAGTGATAAGCGGGAAACCCTGCCCACATGTGGCTCCTGTTAGCTGCCAGGGTTTTGAGAGCCAGCCTGGTTCATCCCCTTCTTCCTTCCTTCAGTTTGCCTAGCACATGCGGCTCTTACATAATCTGCTATAAACCAGGTTAGCTGGATAGAAAAACAAACCCACATGTTTTCAGTATTTCAGTGCAATTTGGAGACGATGGCTGGACTTGGATGTTTACAGTTGAAAAGGAGGCATCTGAGCTGTCATCAGACTCAAGTGCAGTAGTTAGGATGCCTTGGCAGGGCAAAAGGGTTTGGATTTGGGTCTAGAGGATAGGACAGAGAGAAAACAGACCTTTTTGTGTTCATATCAGGGAGTTCGTATCAGTCAAATGTGATATTGAGAACATGAAGGAGAAGTTATACAACCCGAGATGTTTTTGAATCATAGTTGGTAAAACAAAAGGCCCTTCCACACATCCCTATATGTCAGAATCTAGCCCTATATCCCAGAATATCACGGCAGAAAATCCCACAATATCTGCTTTGAACTGGGTTATCTGAGTCCACACTGACATATATTCCAGTTCAAAGCAGATAATATGGGATTTTATTTAGCTGTGTGGAAGGAGCCCAAATTCTCTATAAAGTAGCCAGTTGGGGATTGTGTAAACACACACAGACCTTTTAAATATGTGTCTTGGTTCTGTTTGCTTTTCTGTAACAACCATAAATGCAAATAATATCTGAGATATTTTGTTCCTAAAGTTTCAAATCAAATTTGTATCAGCTTTCTTTGGACTGAATGGACTGTGTTTTCGAGGGACTTGCTGAGCCCTTGCCATTTCTCCTACTTTTCAGCATTTGAAAGATAAGAATCCTTTTGCCTGTGATATTATATAAACAACCCACCTGAGGTTTTTCAAAGGGTTTTTTATGTGGGTGGGAATGCATTGTTAAAAAATCGAATAGTTTTTATTTTAAAAGAAGCTCTTCTAAGCCAATTGTACTATTCTGAGCAACTGAGGACATCTTGTCCTATATTCTCTTTCTGCTGGATTCATGATATAACTACTTGTACTAATATCAGCACATTGGCTTTTTTTGTAGTTCGTGGGGTTTTTAAAAGTAGGAAATCTAACTACCCTGATTCCCTTTGGGGAGAGAGGGTGGTCTATAAATAACAATAGTAATAATAATAATAATAATAATAATAATAATAATAATAATAATAATACTATTATGTATAGTAAATGTTTGGGGGTATTTTGAAAATAGAGAGTGTCAAAGTATCTGGAGATGACCAAGATAATTCAGAATGTTGCTTTCATATGTGACAATTTGAGCATGAGAAACAGTAAGGAGGGTGACTGACATTCAAAAGAGTTCCTTCAAATTAACTTCCTAGTTAATTTCCTAACTCTTGAACTTTCAAAATCTGCCACCTCTTTCCCTTCATATCTGAGATAAAGCAGCAGCCAAAACAGCTTCAGGTGAAATTAGGCAATGACTGTAACAGACAAAACTCTAGAGGCATTTTGCAGAAGATATCTTCTAAAGGGCAAATCCTTCATTTTTGAACTGAAAAATGTATTTGTGGAAGGTGGCGAATTAATAAGTTGAATTCTCCCACTCTACTTGTGAAAGCGGAAATGTTTGGCTGCTTTGAATTTGACCAAATGACTTGCACATGTTGCTCTCTTGGTTAAATCAAAGCATAGTATTAAATGTTTGGCTTCTCTGCCTGTTATGGTATTAATTAAACATGTGATGTAGGTACAATACTTCACTATAAATAATCCATGGAACAGTGGGGTCAGAACTCGAGCATTTAAACCAGTGAACCAGAAAGCACCCAGTTAAGTGAGAACTTTTGTGAAGACTGCCAAGTAGATGTGTTTTTAAAATAGCCGAGGAATAATGAGTTATAGAAGTTCATTGAGGTAGCTTTTGGTGGGGAATCAATTCTTGTCCACAATGTTTAGAAGACTAGGCTCCTGTCGTGAAAGTGTAACTTTCAGTCTTAAGATAACATGAAGTTATAAAGGTATTATTCTTCTCGGGGTATGTTTTCAGTTGGCATTTTTGTATATTGCAAAGCTCAGTAGACTCTGGAAGACAGTTATTGGATCTGGAGAACCATCCTCAATCAATTAAAAGAAACTGCTATATATTTTTGCAGTTGATACAGGATGAAAAATCTTAAACTGATAATGATGATGGTTTTTTAAATGGTATCACTCAGAGTAAAGAAATAAGGTTTTTAATAAGGTTGTTACTTCTAAGGAAATGATAGATGAGTGAATATTTTGCTTGTTAAACTATAATTTGTATTGGCACCTTTATCCTAGAGTTGAAAAACTAAATGCATTTCCCAGGGAGCAAACTCTATTAATTATAGTAGGACTTACTTTTCAGTGAACGTGTAGGCTTGTACTGTGAATTGGAAAACAATGAAAGTGTTACCCTGTTGAGAATAAAATAAAGCAGAAGTGGTAAGCTTTACTTAATAACTCAAATAAGCATTGCTTAATTCATATCTATATATATATATATTTCTCATACACTCATATACCTTTTAGATTCTCTAAATTCAGTAAAGAATTGTTCTTCATTTAAAAAGTCAGTGGGTGACAATCCAATCCAAAGGTACATTCACTTAATTACTTTGTATATATTGGTATGTATCATATACCAATATATATGAAGTATTGCTATGGACATCTTCTGAACTATTATTTGTTTATATTAGTAATACACAAAGCTATCATAAAAGAGAAGCAAAGTTTGGAAGTATTGCAACAAGTTTTCTCTTCTAAAGTCACATGTAATTGATATTTTGATTATCCTAGGGACATATCATTGATGAATATTCCTAAACTCCAACAGAGTTTAGGAAAATATAGAGAAATGCTCCAAAGCTTTGTTGTGCGTGATTCGGATACTATTAAGAACTGTATGTGCACCTTAAGCTTTCCAAGATATTAGCTCTACATCTAGGATTGAAAACTGGACTGAAGACGTAGTAGATGTAGAATGCCAGACATTTTTAAAATAAAGAATAAAAATATGCGACTTCACTCTGCCAGAACTTTCTCTTACAAGCAAAGATTAGACACTGCAGATCCCACAGCACTATGTGATGCAGGAACGCACCCGTTTTCAACTTCCCTGTCATTTATAAAGCAGACTAATAATCAGTCATGTCAATGATGACACTGATGTTAAATCGATTGAACCAAAGAACATTTATATATATATATATATATCTATAAAAATAAAGTACTGTATGTAAATTGTTCATCCAGAGCTACATGGGGACAAGTGTGAGTAAAAAGTATATCTAATTAAATTTCTGATATGACATTTAGCTAAAGAGCACTGCAGGTTTGTACTTGCTTACTCAAAAACAAATCCAAAGAAGATTTACGCTGGAAAAGTTGTTCAGACTATAGCTTTGCATTCATTAACACTGGTTATCCCAACTGTTGCTTTATCACAGTTGTTGTAGACAGGACTGTACAAGTAGAACATATCTCAAACGTCAAGCCATTTTTCTAGTTTATGTTTTATTGCGGTGAAGAGTGCCAGGATTGGTTTTGAAGATGGTTTCTCTTCTCACTGAAATGAATGGAACTTAAATGCATGTTTAAATTGAAGTTTGCACTTAACTCCTTTATTGTGTTACGACCTTAAAAATAGGCTAAC